CCTGCCCACGAGGAGCAGCTCCCGGTCACCGGCAGCTTCCCCAGATGTCCGTGGTGAGGGGCAGGGTGCTGCTGCTGCTGAGGATGGAGGTCGGGGATGACACGAGCTCTGCCACCGTCACCGCGACCATCAGACCCCGCAGCCCTGCGGGGGAGCGGCTGAACCGGGAGGGATGGGATGGGGCAGGATAACCCCGGGACGGTCCCTACCCCTCTGCAGCCAGACCCTGGGATCTCCTCTGGGGCGAGGATGGACTTTGGGAACGTTCAGCTGCACCCCGGGACCTCACATCCCCCTGACTTCACTTTTGGGCTGTGCCACGCACAGACCCTCCCAGACCATCCCTGGGGTCCCCCCAACATCCAGGCCCTGGCAGCAACCCCGGGGTGCAGCAAAGCCCGGTGGGGATGGGGTCACTCCCCGGCACCTCCCCACCTCAGGGCTCCACCACCGGCTCGGGGTGGGCGATGCTGGAGCAGCCCAGGGCGGCCCCTCACACACGGCTGCACTCCTCGGGGTCCACAAAGGCCACGGGGGCTGGGGAACAGAGGCAGGTGACATCTTGAGACCCCCCCTTGGCAGGGTGGGGGCCAGCCCTGCACCCCCTCACCCTCCTCATGCCCCCTCCCAGCGGGCAGATCTTGACCCTTTGCCGTGGCCACGGTTTGCAGACCTTGGCAGGACACCGGGTGGAGAAGCGAGGAGCAGATCCCACGGGAAAATCCACTTCTGCTTCCCCCTCCTCATTCCCACCCTCGGCTCCAACACAGCAGGATCCATCCCACCCCTCACCTCCTGCTGCCCACACCCAGCCCGGCTCAGGTTGGATCTATTCCCACATTAAATCCAGTGCCAGCTGCCCCGGGGGGATCTCCAGAGCCCCACCAGGACCTGGGGCTACAGCTGGAGGCAGCAGAGCTCTGGGGCAGGCACTGCCCATCCCCACCCACGGGGCCAGCCGGCTTCGTGCACCGTTGTGGCAATTTCCTGGGCATGGGCAGCACCAGCAGCTCCTGGGATTTGCCTGGCAGCACGCCAGGACCATCAACACCCAATTATTTCTATGTCTCAACCA